TGCTGTGTATTCTGGCTACAGACAGCAGAGTAAAATAACCTCCTTTCCAAAAGAAAAGCTTGGTTACATGTTTTGATATTGTTGGTCATCATGAGGTTGGATTACATGCGTTCTGGTGAAACTGCTGCTGTTCTTCAGATTGTGGTCCTTGTGTTGTAATTACATTTAAGACTTGTATGTAAAGTTAATATTTTATAAATTATCATTGCTATATAACTATGTAATCAAAATATTATACCACACAAGTTTCTATTCTTTTCCCTGTAAATTATTTAATAACACTTGGAAGTACAGTGGAACCTCGCATAACGAACATAATTCGTTCCAGAGGCTTACTTGTAATGCGAAACACTCGTTAAGTGAAACAATTTTTCCCATATAAATTAATGTAAAATACGATAATGCGTTCCATGCCGAAATAAATGCTCAAACAATTTTATGTGTAACGTTAATTCAAAAAAATTATATATACATTGTTAAGGAGCGTGAATCATCTTCATCTTTTCTTCTTTGCGGAATGCACCAACCTGGAATGCGAATTCGATTTGCAGAAAAAAAAAAATTGAAATAATTAGTTTATTATTTATGATACATATCCAATTCGTTTTTACCAGAAAGCTGTCTAGAGACATTTGTTTTTGCCAACACTTCAAAATTTGGTGAAAATGCGACACAGCATTATCATTAAATAAATTTGTAGTGCGCATAGCCACCACCCACGGCTTCCCTTAAATGCTTCTTCGGCCGTTCATGATCGTGGCATCTTCTTAACGAGGTCAGCGAAAATCACTTTTGACTTCTCACAAATGATGTTTTCATTAATAGTGTTGCCTTGCAATTGCTTTTTGTTTATCCATATGAGGAGCAACCTTTCAACACCATCAAGAATACGTAACCGTTGCATAGATATTCTTGTCACTCCCTTTGAAGCATCTATCTCCTTAATCTTGTCCTTGTTCTTGAGGATATTGCAAATCGTTGATGTAGACCGATTGTATGTGCGTGCTAGATCAGCCACGCTCACACCTCGTTCTCGCTTTTCAGTGATTTTACATTTCATTTCTAAGGTTATTTTTATTCCCTTATGGCTGTCTTTTTGCGGATTTTTCTTTGGGGACATTTTTGCAAGGGTTATTAAACTTTGCACAAAAAAATCACAAATAATATGTCTGAACACAAGTTTGGAAAAATGTGTGATCACAAGCAACACTAAGATGCTAACGGAATGAGTGCTAAACAAAGACTCGATCGAGGTCACCAAGATAGATGTATATGGAGGTCATTAGCTATGGGTTGATGTGTTGTCTGCTTTATCTATGATGTGGATTGAATTAGGTTAGAAGTGTAATATAGGGGGCAGAATCCGAAAAACGGACGCAATTATGTCTGAACACATAAGTCTGTTCTTTTTTTTTTTGTTTTGTTTTGTTTTTCTTTCTTAATTAGACACAACGCTGCATGTGAGTATTTGTAGCAAACATAAAAAATTAAAGTATTGTTGTTTGTAAATATAACCACCAAGCTTGCAAGCTAAGGTTAGAAATA